CTAAAAAAAATTCGCTTTTCTGACGAAAATGATATCCCTGATATTTTTTTAAAATCTAATAGCTATAAAATATAAGATGCTAAAAAGAGCTCTTTGCTCTTCGCCATGGGTAATATCTACTTACACAAAAATATTTTGGGGTAATGATTAAAAAAGTTCCCCGACCGCTGTATTAAATGGATCCACTCTGCCTCAGGCAAATGAGGCCAAGTACATTGGCATGCATCTAGATCTACGCCTTACTTGGAAAACACATAGCAACCAAGAGGAAATGTCTCAATCTGAATGCTAGGAAGCTGGAGTGGCTAATAGGAAGACACTGTTGCATATCAACAGAAAACAAAGTGCTCCTCTATAAAGCAATTCTAAAACCGATATGGACCTACTGGAGATTGCAGTTCTAAATGCTGATGAAAATTACCAATGCTCCATGGTTCTTCACAGACGATGGCATCCATAAGCAAACTAACATCAGTTTCGTCAAGGAAGAAATAGCAAAGGCTAGCACAAGATACCATAATCGGCTAGAGAATCACCCAAACCAACTGGCTACAGAGCTGATCCATACTGCAGATCATCGTCGAAGACTGAATAGGTTTAAACCGCAAGATTTACCGAACCGATTTTAATTATTGATTATTAATGTGTGCAAGTGCATAAATAATTATCGTATATGTGAAGTGGGGTTGCTGGATCATCTCTTCATTATTTATTATTATAGTGTTCTTTTTTTTAATTTACTTTTACCACATTCATAAGGCTTGATATCAATGTCAGATGATAGATTGCTTTAAAAATATTAAATTAAAGAAAAGATTGGTTTTAATCCGTAACTACTACTATCAGGTCAATTTGACCTTTTCACTTTTTTAAATCTAAATTGAGCGGAAAGTTTATAGTTACTTTTATACTGTTAAAAAAATGATAGAAAAGCATCGCTTTGTTGCATAATTTGCCATAAACTTTTTTTATTTTTATAATGTTCAATGCATATTTGCAGGGAATTTATAATTTTTTATCTGATATGTTTATGTAGATTCCTCAATAAATTATATAAGTTTGAAGACTTGCTATTTTTTTTCCTTATTTAAATTATGTGTATTGTAATTTTATTACAATTAGTAAATAAACAATATAAAAACTTTGGTTTAAGTTAAAGTTCTGGTATTAATATTGTGATATAATAATGTGATAATGTTAATAGTGTGATATAATATTGTAAATAAACAGGTTTTGTTTCATTTAATATTACTAAACATTATCATAATTTGTTATTATTCTTTTCAATTATTGGAAATAATTTGATATATTTTTATTTTGTTATATATTGTTTCAATGCAAAAAACATGATATCAATCAAGAGGAAATGTTTAAATGAAGAGATTCAAATACGGTTTTTTGTTGAAAATGTAATTTCGAACCAATTTCGAGAGCGATGGATGTTGCGGTTGTATAATTACAGGCTCGAACAGTGAGGGGGGTAAAAAAAGAGATTCGACTGGTCCACCGAGTACGGCGAATTAATAGAGTCCTTGTTCACAGGTTGTAATTAGGATGTGGCTTTGAAAGAAGGAAGATGGAGAAAGAAAGAACGATCGAAAAGAAAACGTTCTACGTGGAAAGCGAAAACGGTGATTCCATTTCAAACTTAAATTGCGTCCGAGAAGTTTCCAACCCTCCTATTTATGTACAGTGGTGCCTCGCATAACGACTCCTGGAACGAATTAAGTTCGTTGTGTGAGGCACCACTGTATTATCGAGAGAGGCCCGGGCTTTAACGACTTCTCTGCAAAAGCAGACAACCTTCAATTAGCAACAAACCGCAAACTTATTTCCACCAAATTATTTATTTTCATTGGTTATTTACACTTCTCAATATTCTTTACTTGATTATTACTATTAAAGGTTTATTAGAATTAATGTAATGCAAAGTTATTAAATTCTATTGGATAATAAGCTGTGCATATTATGTTACTAATATAGTATGTAATGGATATAGTATATATCTGTCAGTCGAGGCTCACAAACTTTATTAGCTGAGGGCCCTAGAACAGTCCAGGGCCCACAAAGTAAACGGTCAGCCTCTGGATTCTGAATATTATAAGCATTGGAAAAAAATGTTTGCAGTCTCATTACCTACATTAAAATAACAAGAGTATTTACAGGTAAAATGTATGGACATATTTCGAATATTACTAATAATTACCATTCAATACATTTAATGTTTTGGGAAAACCATTAGTATAAATCAAGTTTTAACTATAATCATTGCGTTTAGCATTCGGATGAGTACATAAATTAATAAAACCTATACAGCAATATCTCGCATAGTGCAGGTAATTGAAATATGACTAAATTTTGAAATTTTCAAACCGGACTAATCGAAGCAGCACTAAAACCGCAATATTCGATGTATGTATTTCTAAATATCTCTTCAAAATATTATAAAAAAATCAGTTTATTTGCTCTTTTTTTAGCGAATATCACATATGTTAAAGGACAAAGCATATTTAGTAGACATTCAATTAAATGAGACTGAATTTAAGAAATTAACCTAAGATAAATAAAAAAAAATTATATTTTTTTAAATTAATTTCTTCATATATTAGATGTTTTTAAGTAAATATTTAATTAATAATTAAAGTAAAAATGAGTTTGTTGACTGAATAAAGTAGACTATAGCAATTGTTTTGATTTCAACAGTTGGAAAAGTATTCTAACGTAATTGGCTTCATTCAATTATGTAGGAATTAAGGAAAATGATAGATACTAACCTGTCTTTGGATGTGAGACTGCTACGCGCAGCACGCAAAATAAGGCAAACCCTGAAACAGAAACGTGTTTAGTTCAATTATCAGTACAAATTAGAAACAACAATCAATAACGTGCGCATCGTAATAATATTTAAACAGATTCCTACTCTATCCATTTGACTAGCAAACGTTTGTATTATTCTCTGTTTACGGCGTTTCCGTATTAATATTCCATCGAAATTCATACGTAAATTTTAATGCGACTTTGTTTGAATTATTAAAATTAACAATGCTTGAATTGAATATAATCCTATTAATGCATTGTATGCATACTACAAAGCGCCATTGACTTTTAATATTATCTTTTAATAATTATTGCGTAACGAATAGTAAACAAGTTTTTCAGGTCTTAGTCATTATGATAAAACCTGTTATTTTATTTAAAAAGATCAATGATTAATTTTCAAATTTAATTCTTTCCAAAAGTCTGGAGAAAGTATTTAATGCTATTTCGGAATTAATAAAAAATGCACTTTCGCAATACATTTTTTCTCATTCAATATTGAAATTTCATGACTAAATATCGCAGATACTTAAACTTAAAGAGTAAAGTCGTATTCCCTTATGATTGTTGTTTGCTGACAAAATATTATTCCTCCCTTTTTTTATGTCTCATTTTATACCGAGTGTGGTATTAAGGCTAATGCAGCTTTAAGAAACCAACTTAATGTATTAAAAATTAAAAACGTGAAGCTTTAGTTATTTTTGTTATTATGGATTATACTGTTTGATTATTTGCAAGTTTTGTGACTTCAGGGTTAGTCGTTAATTCAAAATTATGCTCATTGGAGGAATCGTTTGCACCCTATATATACCCCAGAGAATTAATCAATCGTCGACCCCGTCGTAACCTATTCATCGTTCAACTCGCCGAATATAAATCGTTTTTTAATCGCATATGCGAAACTCCATTTGTTTGCTTAATTTTTTTATATGTGCTTTCATGATTGGTCCATTACCATGTAAAAAAATATTTGAATTCATTCAAAAATTCATTTCTTTGTTAAGTATTAAAAATACTACAAAAAATAAACGAAAAGTTTGAATTTGTGAAATGAAATAAATATAACATTTAATTTTGTATTTAAATATTAATTGATTTATAGTTATTTTTTTAATTAGTTCTAAAATAAATTAGATTTCTCTCATAAGATTTGAAACGAAACGCCTAATTTTTCTTGACCTCTCTTTTCGTGGATAAAAGGAAATTTTATCAGTTTTCGGGGCCGATTCGAATGATAAAAGCTACGAAAAAAGTCGCATTTAGCCGATCCTTCATTTTTATGACTCTTATTTACTGTTCACAGCAACTGTGATTCGTTATTAAGTTATTAAGATGCCAACATTCGAAATCGCTCCCCACTGATCATCAACTACTACGGCTACGGCAATGTTTGTATTTGTATTGAACAGTTTTTTTTTGTATTTGGACAAGTAACCTGAGAGGACTGAGGCATCTCCGATCATGCTTGTTCAAGATCCCAATATTTCTTGAGACGGCACTAATTAAACATAAATTTACACTTAAATCAAACATAAAATAATGCTGTGAAAGCTGCACAAAAGATTTGTATGTTTATTTGTTTTTGATAAAATCAACCTTTTTTTGGTTATCTACTTTTTGCTAAACGCTTTTAGCTCTTACTTAAAGCTGCCATACTTTTAGCTACAGCACTTTGTTCTTGTCATTAGTACGTATTTCCTTACTTTTATCTCATTTGTAATCTCATCTCATGTTACTCAAAGCATCTTACAGATCAATACAATATACTAACGTTATGAGTTTATTTTAAAGAAATTCAATCACTAAACAATTATTAAATACTAGAAACATATTTTCAGATCATGCAACTTTTACTTAGAGAAATCGACACATAACTTTAGTGCGTCTGATAATTTGTTATTTAATATATGATTACATATATGCAACATAATTATTATCTCAAAGAATACACCAAGAGTAATAGATTTGAAATTGTATTGGTTGTATAAGAAAACAAACTTATTTCAACATAACAACATTCAAAAGAATGCTTTATTCAATATGCACTTAATAAGAATTATATACTTCTCACAATAAAATTTTAGTAATGATTTCATCATATCTTATATAATTTTATGTTTTATCTTCTAACAATTTCAAACTATTCATCAAACATCAAAACTACATCAGTTCTCGAATGGTAATAACAACAGTATTTATACTCTCAATAAAATTTCACAAAAGTGTAATATTGTCTGCGTCAAGGATAAAGCATCAAGCATACACAAATGTCCATACTTTAAGTGAATTTACTTTTATCGGATGGTGAATTCCCATGTAAATATTGGAAATTCTCCAAATTGATTGCGAATTTAATACTACATATGCATTTTATTAAACTAAATGATTATATAGCTTTGAATTTAAATGTGTTAGAGCCAAGTGAAGCAGTGAAGTTGAAGCAAACAGGATTTATTAAAGTTCTGGAACTTTCTGCAACTGCTATACTTTCCACAGGATATGGTGCAAGCAAGCGTTTTGAGCCCGACAGTAATATCAATCGCGAGTTGGAGAATGGAAATTCTAATTTAGAATCTAAAATTAGAGGAGCCTGTCTTTTTCTCTGTCTCCCTCTGTCTCGTATTCTCTGCCGCAACGCGTTCTGTTTGTGCAGTACGTGTACTTGGCCTAATTTCCCATTCACAATACTGAAGTAGACGTGGCATTATTTCAGTGTCGCGTACGAGAGATCTGCAAATATAGGTCCTCATGATGAAATTGCATATTTTGGTGACTTTAATTGCCAATGAAATGACGCTTCCATATACATTTGCAATAATTAGTATACGTATAACACGTAGAACTTTGTTTCTCAAACTACGATGAATGCACAAATCTTACTATTTATAACTTCAAACTGATGTAAATTTACCAAAAAAAATACAATTGATAATGATAATAAAAAGTACCAATTTCTGAAGACCGCTGTTTCTATTGAAAAGTCAAGTACAGTCAACCCTCCTATAACGCGGTGAGTGCGTACCGCGTTATTTGGAAACCGCGCTATAAGAAACTCGAATTTAACCGTACAAACCAGGCTAATTCGTAGCGTGTTCTATGGAAACCGTCTACCGCGTTTTATGGAAACCGCGCTATAAAAAACTCGGAATTAGTACAAATCACATCATTCGTACCGCGTTATACGGAGACCAATAAATACAAAAGACAAGATAATTTATAAATTATTATTGAATTATTGTTGAAGAGTTCATATAAGGATTGATAAAAAAAATGAAACAAGAACTAAACTAAACGACTGTTTTTCAACAAAAACAATGAAGACTTTTGTAAAATTATGTAATCTTTCAACACTCATCCTCGCTGTCAGATATGAGTCGCCTAACTCGTCTTCTTTTAATGGGCAAAATGTCTTCATCACTTAGTTCATCTTCACATTGATTTTCGATTGTAGCTTTTTTTTTCTAACTCCACTAAAACCTCTCTATAAGGAGCTAAGCAATTTCTTAACTCTCTTTTAAACTTTGCGCTGCGCACCGTTGAACGATCAGTTTGAATGAAATGAAGTTCTAATTCTTTAGCCAAATTTAGCCCTTTTTCACATCTTGTAAATCAAGATTTGGCACCCATTCGTTTTCCTTATTTTCATTTACCAATGAATTTGAGGTGGATGCATCAATTAATTCCATCAGTTCTTCCTCATCTAAAGTTTCTTCCCCGAGTACTAGTTCTCTTACATCCTGATGGTTTACTGCAAATTCTTCATCGCTTAAACGAGAAGCAATGTTTACTATTTCTGTAACTGGGAGTGAAATTGTAGATTCATCTTGTATTGCTTGAACCATTTGAGGTAAAAGAGGTTTCCAACACGTTGATGGTTTAATTTCCGCGCAAGCCGATGACACGGTTCTAATACAATCTAAAATAGAAAATTCTATCCACACTTGAGTTTTGGGGATTTTATTTTCACTGTTTTCTAATCTGTCGAAAATGGTTTGGAAAAGTTGGCGTGTGTAGTATATTTTTAAAGTTTGAATGACTCTTTGGTCCAAAGGTTGTATTAATGATGTGCAGTTAGGAGGAAGGAAGACAATTTTTACATTTGGATGATCCAGTTCTATGTTGCGGCGTTATCAAGAACCAATAAATTTTTGAAATACATTTTTTTTCCATCGTATAGGTTTCCACGGCCGAGATAAAACAATTATAAAACCAATCCTTAAATCTCTTACAATATCTAGTTACTAGAGTCATTCATAGGCTGCGCAGAAGGAACTTATGGGATGCTGTTGAACGGAAACCGCGTTGTAAGAGTACCGCGTTATAGGAGGATTGACTGTATACAAATGTTGATCTCATGGAATATTAAGTATGAGTTACATTCTACTCTTAAGTAACCAAGACTAAATTATATAATACAAAAATGTATCAATTTAAAAAAAAAGTGTATTATTTCGAGGAAAAGAAATCAGTTTTGACTATGTGTAAATTACAACCTTTTTATGTCACAACTATACGATTTATCGCGATTACACAGTTCATTGTAATATTCCACAAGCTGTTGCAAATAATGCGTTTGTATATTTGATGGATACTTGAAATATGTTTTGTAATAATTAAGAAAAAAATGGTAGACAAATCAAATATTGAAAATTAACGAAGAATGAAATAGTTGTAGAATGAATAACTACAGTACATGTTTGTAGATGTCCAACCAGGCGGAGGAATCGAATAACGTTCCATGAAGTGAGATGTGACGGTATAACGCGTCCGTGCACTCTTAAAGGGTTAACGGCGTCGGAATTCCATTTATTGCATTTCCTTTTTCGCTGTCTATTTATTTCCTATTCCGTCCATCTATTCCATTGAACTGATATTAAGTAGGTCGCGATTGGAAGGAAAATTGGAAAATATGGAATTGGAATCGGAATCGCGCTGCCTGCCGATGGTGATTTAATTGAAACGGGAGATCGCGAGGAATGTTGGGTATGCCGCGGATGTGTTCAGTGGA